AGGGATGCGAGTATGAAGCACCCATAGCTGGTCCACTACATTTCAAAGATCTCATGTACTGATCGGAAAGACGTAGTAAATCCTCGTTCACCTTGAGACGTCTATGATCCCCCATTCATTCCATCTGTCGCAGGATATCACTCTCGGTGAGTCCATCGTTATGACGATATTCAGTTATCTTATCAGATCTTACAGTACCTTTCCCTCATGGCACGAGTCTGACGCGCGCTTCTGCATCGCCCTCCACAGCACAAGTCTTCCATCTTACCACCAACCACGATGCCCGCCCTCAATGCCTGTCTCCAAGTCGCACGTCTCGCTGAAGCCGCAGGCGACAGTGTGCCGTACCTCGAGAGCGTGGCCAAGGTCGCCGTACTCGTCTTCAAGCTTCTTGATGTTCGGTTTACTATACTTCGCCGTACGGATTTTGTCGCTGATTCTGTATTCTACAGCAAAAGGCAAAGAACAAGGAAAGTGCCAAGGAGCTATGCGAGAGCATTGCAAACACGATCCTCGTCATAAACGACCTCGTTCGCATGCAAGGAGAAGGGGAAACATCGTGTTATATCGATATTTGCGTGGAGATGGAAGGGTAGGTTGCCGTTTTCCTTTCCTCTCTTTCCTGAACAGCTACTCAACCGCCTTGATTGCAGGTATCTTCAAGGCATGGCTCAAGATTTGAAGGATATTAAACGGAAGCACCGTGGCATCAAGGGTATCTTCAGTGTCGAGGACTACCGAGACGCCATTCAGGCTTACAGGAGGCGCATAGATGATTTGAAGATGGACTTTGTGGTAAGCTTATCGCTTCCAGGTTTTCCGTGCCGTAATTCACGCTCTGCTGTAGATCCATTCAGTGGGTGACTGCCGTTTGGAGGTGACGCAGATGCACCGCCTGTTGAAGAATGGGATAGCACCAGCTGTTGTGCGTCACTCGGAGTTCGTTTTCCGGATCCCAAAGAAGCCTGTTGCAATCACTGCCTTTTTTTTTTTTTACCCTGATCTCTAACAGCGAATAAAACATTTAATGTAAGCTGATCTAAAAGAAGCCTTCCTTTAACAGCCTTACGGTACCAATATATATTTATTTCATTCCGCAGCTACATCCAAATTTCAATATACTCATCGAATGTACTTGGTTCATAATAGACGCAAAGGCGTGGAAGCCTCTATACTTGGGACTTACTTCGCTGTCTATAATTACCTATATTCTATCGAGAGGTCAGTAGGGTATATTAATTTTACCATAGTAATGTACATCTCTCTTCCCCCGGCGTTTTTGGCCATACATCACAACATCACGTAGACATGAAACCTCAATTTTAATTCTAGTTTAACAGCAGGCTCGGGAGTATTACTCGTCGCGTCTTCTTACAATACTTACTCCAATTGTAGTCGGTAGCCTACACCTTAGCTGGATTAAAGAACTTCAGCCGACCACGGGTCAACTTTAAATAAATAATTCCAGGACATGAAGTAGAATCAATGGCTTGATAGCTGAGTGTCTCCAGCGGCAGAATATATTCTGCCACTTCGGATCTAATATGTATTCGAAGAAAGTAAGAAAATGAAGGAAAAGAAAGGAGAATGACAACTTATCAGGCGTCTTGAATGTGTTGTCCAAAAAAGCCAGCTTAGTATGAGGGGAACACCGGTCCTTCTTTTTCCGAGGCCTATGAATATGGGAAATTCAGTCTTTATACCAACCTGTGCCCCGATTATCCCTTCGCACGATCATCAAGGAAATGTGTGGATATACCGAACTTCCTCTCATGTGAAGAAATTTGTCCGAGCGTCTAATGATCTTCGTTGGTTGAACTGAAAAAGACGGACATAAATTACTACACAATTTGAAGCGGATACCTCTGAAGACCATATCTCCCTCCTTTGCGAGCCGTGCGGTTTTTGCAGTCTGAGTGGTCCTTGGCAGATTCAAAAGGCATGAGTCATGCAGTAGTTACCGTTGGGCAACGGGGTGTCTAAGGCCCTGCTTATTCGCTTACTGGGTGAATGGCCGTAAAAGGTGGGTTGGCGTCAACAGCACTCGGCCCGAAGTCCGGATGTCAAATATAGGGGTATTTCCCACAACTCCTTTGTTGTGACCGCGACCATCGACCATCGACCCCTTGTCTGCCATCCTGGAACGCCGTTTATATGCGCTTGTATCAAACCCTTCTCTCGTATTCCCGGCGTGCGGATTAGTTTTCGAAGATACGTGGGACGAAGAAAGGACTTGAGAGCGAAGTGATGATGGCGGGAAAGGTAGACAGTTTTTTTCCTGCTCCCTTTGAGTGGTCAAATTCATTAGGGAATATACAGTAGGTTCTTTTACTGCTATTCTCGGTGCCTGCGACTCGTTCGTGCCATTGACGCGATTTTCTCTTGGTAAGGTCCTCCGTGTATTCCCTTTCGTCGCTCATCACATCCATCAGCGCTCTCGATATGCTCAGACATACCATCGAAGGAAAGAAATGGACGTGGAAGTTTTGGAGGGACAAGTGGCGATTTGTTTGGAGTAGCCGTGGACTGCATATGATAATGAAAAGGTACGTGACATGTCCTGTCGTTTTCTTCCGTTTCCTGATATGTTTGACAGTGTAACGTCTGTTCATCGAGCTCATCAGCGGCTTGCTCAAAGTGCAGTAAAGACCACGTACATTGTCCAACATCGGATTCGATGACCCGAAGCTTTGAAGTTTTGGTTCAGCTGGGGACGCTTAAGCCTTACATCGATGAGGTTTGTATGGGAGGACGAAGCCGAGTTCACTTCGAAGCATACGAGCGGACCTCGATGCGTGCACTAGTGAAATCGCTCATGTTTCATCGGATGCGGCGAGATGAGGTTCTGGAGGGTATGGAGTGGGACGTGAGGCCCAGTGAAAAGTCAGTCGAGCCAGGCTGAGCCAAATCGAGCCGAAGGGAAAAGGTCGATGGGGCTTCGTCCCGCTCGCCATGGCTTCGAAATGTGAACCCTTTTCCAGCCCAGGTCAAGCTATTTCGAGCTGCACAGATTAAACTTGTTCGGTTCCCATACGCTCGATTAGGCTCGATTTTGTTCCATTTGACTACTATACAGTGTAATTACACCGTACACCGAGGAATACCAAACATCCCAATCTGCTTTGCCTCGCTATGCTTGCATCTGTCAAGCACTTCTGGTAGCCTCGCAATGCTGCACCGTTCGCAATACAAAAATGACCTTAAGTGTGACATCAATACTTTGACAATGGACAAGACGGTCGGGCATACTCACAAAAGTTACGAAACAGACGCTGATAAAAATCAAGAGGATTCGATGACCTTTACAATGATGGTCAGACCATCACATCGCACAGAGATACGGAATGTAACGTACCAAGGTCACCCCAAACAAGATTATAACGAGACGACGGACAAAACCACCACCTCGTTGTGAGTATCTATGGCAAGCAATAATGCGATAATACATACCTCTGGTACCACCAGCCACCCAAGCGCGACAATATAAACATAAACCGATGTTGCAGACGTCGAAACAGAGCGCATATAACCACCTTGCGAGCAAGTTACCGTCCCCAATATCGTGTCTGTGAGTGCCGTGGTCCGTTTCAGGGGCAACAGTGGAGTAATAGTAGAAGAAAGTATTTATTAACAAGCAAGAGGGCACATTGGGTGGCGTAAAAAGACGGCGGCGAAGGCGTATATGCAGCAGGAGGCGACGAGATGGTGGTGGTAGAAGAGAAAGAGGTGTCGATCGGGTCACCGGCAGCTGGCCAGCCGGTGAAATACACGTGGCTAGACTGGTTGCATTAGCAGGTCGACCGCAAACTATATGTTTCAATGAAGCTCTGAAGTTCTCCAGAGACGGTGTATTAGCTATGGTGAGTGGAACAAAGCTCGCGTTTAGACGCAATTAAGCTTGCAGTGCGCGTTGCCGTTTGATTTGGCTCGATCTCGCTGCATGAAAATCTGTGTGGCTTGATTTGGCTCAAACCGGCTCGACGGAATTTTCACTGGGCGTGAGGTGTAGCGGATGCATGGTCGACGGGTCAGCGCGGATGGCCCTTGTATGGAAAATGTCTTCGGAAATAGATGCGAGGTCGTTGGGCTTGTGGTGTGTTCGTTGGAGACAAAAGAGTAGCCGGAGATGGATGCTTGTTTGGACGGAGAAGTGTCCGGGATGTGGGAGATTGGTGTATGATAGACTCGGAAACAGCGTAAAGCTAAGGTTAGGGCGACTCGTTACCCTTATGTTTTTCGCTAATGGTACATTTTCATAGCATGCTCGCTAGGGGTCTCTAAGGAACGTCCGATACTTTTCATGGCTGTAGGTGTGCTTTCCTTGTCGTTCCTGACGGTAACGCAGGGTTGATTCCTACATTTACGAAAGGTGAGCATCGTTTCCTTATGATGCCCCTGAACGCGCCTCTGATACACGCCGTCCAGTTGTATCTATTATATACCCAATATGTTATACCCTTCTATCCTCACTGCCATGGACTCACAAACCTGTTGCAACACTTGAAGAATAAGTACGACCTACGAACCCTGTCGAGATTCTCAAACGTTCATTGGAAGCTCAAGATAGCGTACAGCGACAAGTAAGATCCAACTGCTTGACAGTGAAGTCGCCATGACGCCTCAAGAGCATTGTGCCCGCATCGGCCATCCAGAATACGTGTTCAGATGCACACGTTCCATATCGGGAGGCGGCTTCTCTTGTGTATGAAACCTAAGACTTTATCTTCGGGAGTCAGAAGCCCGAAGTCCGGGAGCGCGTGTAACAGTGATAAGCCCGCGGCTTTCTTTCTTTCTTTCCTCCTGCGTTGCCAGGATTTCAATTTGTTCTAGGGAACGGTATGCATCAGGCTTGTAAGTGCTGTATAGCAGATATCGATGGCAGCCTGCATAGCGTTTTGACTACTTAATATGGCGCCGGTTCAAATGAAGAGCCAAAGACCAGATAGATTCAGACCCTTGACTACCAGGAGCCTTGGAGTTCTATATCACCATGGCGCTATGCATTAGTGCTGTAACGGTTAACATGTGGTCTTCCCATTTGTTGGCTTTGTCTATGTCGCCGCGTTCGGAGTTCGATTCCCTGCTAATGCACTTCGGGCAGCTTTAGAAACCACTGCTCTTTAACCCTTGCCATCGAACTTCGAACTTTGCCTTCGCAGTTCTCATTGCTCAGCGCTCAGTTCTGGTCCCTGGTCCCTGGTAATAAGATATCTTGGATCCAAGTAATATTTAGAAGCTTTTGCGAATAGGAGCACCGTGGATGCACCCACGCATGTGGATAACGCAGAATTCTACGTGCCCGACCGTGACGATCGAGACTGGCCGTAGTTGGCGTTAACTGTTGCAGACATGCCATAATATGTTACGCTTAGTAATGGGAAGCAGCAGAAGCCTGAAAAGTGGCGGCATCATCCCGATCGAGAACTACATCCCATCAAATCATTAGCATTATTTCCCGAATATAAATTTTGGGGACCTCTGACTTGGCTGTAATTACCCAAAACCGAGGTCACAGTGGGCCGTCCGGTGGTTCCTTGTTGAACATTGTCCGCAGATAAGCGATAACTTCGAATGGTAAACGTGCCAGGAAGACTGCGAAAAAGATTGAAACACGGGGAGAGGGAATTGGCCACAAATTTCTGTTCTTCACCTCTAACAGCTTGATCAGTTCCTCCCAATAATACAGAAGTGAAGAATACTACTTACATCGGTATGTCTTCTCGTTCCATGCCATAGTACTGTTCTTGGGAGGCGAGAGGCTTTATTCGCGATTCTCCCTCAGCTCGTCAACGTGATACAAATCAAGATCACTTTCAATTCAATCGAAACTTCATGGAGCAACAACTCTATCTTACAAGAGCCCCTTCGTCGGCTCTTCCAGCAACCCCATGTTGAGGGGATTGTTCTACAAGGACTTTCCGAATTGCCTGACTGGGACGCGCTTTTCGGGATGCTGACAGGCTGTCGCGCCGGCCACGTTAGACTGTATAACGTCACCCTTGATCCGCATCCAAGACCAGCTCGTCGTCAGAACGGCCCCGCAGTTCTGCTGAATGCGGGTGCCTTCAGTTTGCTTGATACTTTTGAACTGCGAATCGAAGATCCTTACGGTATGTTCTTCTGCTCCTCGATATCTTGATCTCTTGTTCAATTCTTTCTTGATTGAAGCGTACATGACCAAGCCCAGTTTTGTCCCTCTCGCCATAAGTCGGCTGCGTCATTTCCAGGTCACTTTGAAGGGCACGTTCCACAATCAGACAGACGTTCTGCCCAATTTGGTACGCTGGTGTACCTGCATCTTTGAGAATGCAGAGCAGAACAATATAGAGGCGGTGACACTGTCATTCGTGCAGTGGGGTCCCGAGCAGCAATTGGCTGAGTGGAACGCTCTTAGTGAGATGCTGCTGCGCTCACACATGATCGGCCTTCTTCAGGTTACTCTCATCTCCAATAGCAAGCTCGCGGATGATCGGAGAGCGGCGCAGGCGTTTTCGGGATCTAGAGCGGCTGCCATGTTCCCTCTACTTAGGGTTAAGGAAATGTTACGCGTAGTCTGAGGTATGTTCTCCTTGGTCATCGGAGGAGGGGAACACACTGATTCTGTCTGAGATAGGATCAAGCGCGTGTTGTACACGCTGGAATCCTCGGATTGTATCTGTTTACCGGTGTATCATTCAATTCCGGACAGCAATTATATCAGTTCTTCATGTATGTAGAACTGAAACCGTTGGGCGAGGGGAAACCTACTTCGATTGCGATGTACTGTTTAATTTGGTTTAGGAATAGTCGTATTCTTGTTTACATCACTTACTGCATTTCCTTGTTTACTTTCCAGCTAGAGCTAAGAATACCATTCGAGCTCTACGTGCCGCAAATAGCTCTGGCGTCTTACCAGCTCAGCTTTCGTCACTAAACCACACAATATTGATCTTCCGGGTACCATCATTCCACTGCAGACGTTGACGTTCCCGAAACTGACAAGATTTCTACCATTAATCCAGCAAGATTATCTAGAGAGATTTTTAGGATATTTTCTTAGTTCGTTCTAGAGGGTTGACAGAAACAAGCTCATGATATGTTGTAGCATTTCGCAATACGTGGTGCCAAAGACATGGAATTCCGAAGGCGTGGTCGTCAACGACCTCGCTCCTACCAAGAAGTCCATCTTCAAACAGGCTTCTGGTAACCTTGGATGGTGTCACGAAATTCGTTGACGATAAGGATGCCCTTGATTCCCCGGTGTTTCCACTACACGCCTTTCAGTTCTTCGGCTATGCCGGTGAGATATCTGTTGCTTGACCATTGGCTGTGTGGGAAATATAGCACACGAAAGCGGTGACTAACCCTTCCATCTCTGCCCAAATGTCCTTGGAATATGCAGCTCCTCGCTCGCCATGCAGACAGACATGGGTTTGGATAACGGCGATGGTGTTAGCGATGCCTTTGGGAAAATCCTTCAAGTCTTCCTTGTTCTTTCCTTTCTTCTATTGACGGCGCAGAGTCAGAGGCAAGAATTATAATGGGAAAAGCTGATGTGCGTACCTGAAGTAGCTCTATGATGGCTACGGGGACCCCGGCTAGCTTCTCGACATATGGTATACTGAAGGCTTCAACGAGATTTGCGACTTAAAGAGAGGCATTGAGAGCGGACATGGTGGGTCCTTAGAAAGGTGTATGCTATACAACATGGGCACCTAGCATCGCAACGACGAGTAGAGGTGCTGTAGAATGAAGCATAAAGTTAATTACATCGGATCCTTCTCCTGTGAAGACATACAAAGTAGTGTTATAGGGGGATGTGATGATGAACAAAATGCGTCCAAGGAGGGCAGGCTACCGACAGCAGCGCGCATGTTGGTAGCTAAAAGTATAAGACGATGCTATCAGACGACGTATTGAGTTTAATAGTGGCCAAGCTAACTGGAAAGCCACAAACGGAGCTAATTCCCGGTATACATTAGCAACATCAGGATGATAACAGACTGAAATGGATGCACCAGTCGCCGGTCGGATAGCAACACCAGGTCTATTGGAAAGACCGCGTCCAAATATTCAGGACTCTTGATTCAAGCTATGAAATCTTTGAGAAGAATAGCATCTTCTCCTTGGTCGTTGGTCGCCAGGGTACTGAAGATTCGCCTTCGGAACTTTGACTCTCTTCAAGTTGACTCGTGGCTAGCAGCTAGTAAATTCGTTGGATTTGTGGTCAAACGGCCTAGTCACAACGCGGCAGAAGTGGAGGATGAGACGGAGTAATAACGCAGAGGATCGGAAAAGCTCAATGACATGAACGCACAAAGAGAAAGGCCACAGATTCCCACGCCATTGAAGCGGTTTCCCCGGGCCGGTATTCCTTGGCTTCACTTGAACTCAACCAATAAGCATCGTCCAACGTCCAGAATGATCTTCTCCGCTCACTGCAAGTTATTAATGAAGTTTTATAACACATATTTCTCTCGAAATACTTAGAGGATGCATGATAATGGTGCGTTACGATTTTGTGAAGAAAACTTCAGTAATTTGAATTGACTTCTTCGATATACACAGGAAAATACCAGCTCGTCAGCCTCTCTTAAGCTCTACCATCGTCCGCCATCGCCCACAACTGCAGTCAATCATTCGTAACCAACCTGACAGACCAGAGGCAGTTTAGCTCGTCTGGTTCAGGTTCTGGAGAACGAGCCATGGTCACCGTTAATGCTGACAACCGAAGTCGTACAAAAACATTGGTGGCGATTGGCAGGCTTACCTTGATCTCGTGGACGCGCACCAGATAATAGATATGGTGCTAACTCTATGCATGTTTCACGATTAGAGTCAAGGAAAGAGGTGCTTTCCGTTCCCAGGCGAGTCTACGTTGCGATGGAATTCTGTCATTGAAATGGGATATCAATGGTATCAGCTATTTGCGGCAGCGAAATGGACGAAGCTTTGAAGGCGTGCCCAATGAAGTATTAAAGGAAGGGGACTTCTGCAGGTAGATACCATGAGAGAGAAAGAGCAGGATATCTGGAATATCTTCTGGGCAAACGGCGCGAATGACATTTGCCACCACAGGTTCCTTTGACTCTGGGCGAAGCAAATTTCTAGTGAGTGACAGGTCCTTTGGCAGCCAATCATCAAATACCGCTTATGACGAAGGAGGAAATAAATCGCGATCTCTATTGTATAATAGGCCACTGCGGACTACAGTTTATTATCAAACATCGAGTCTAAAACGAGCACTTCTCGGACGGATTGACGACTACGTTTTCAAAGACAAACACACGTGTACCTAAGTAATGGTAAAGTGTCGTCATAAGCTGGTTGACGCGATCGAATTCGGACGTGTCAGACGGAGGTAAGATAAAGAGCTAATCGAGATACAGGACTATCGTGATAGCGGTGTTTATCGCTGTGCAGAGTCAATTGAATAGGAGGAGCATGCTCGTGAGAATAGAGCGTACCAAGGGTCCGACAATATAACACAGGAAATTCACAGGGAGTCAAGCAGTAGACCGTGTTTCAAGTTATGACGTCGGAGTCGAGACGAGAAACCACGGCTGATCCGGCCCGACCAAAATTCGCGTTGATGGCGTGGGAACGTTTGGCTGTCACCTACTCCTCGTCGATAATCCGAAACACCAATATCGACACCCCGTCATGCGCCCGTGTTCTATCTGCGCCGCTAAATTTATCACCGAGACGCAACAACACGAGAGGCAACTTGGTCCACAGTTCCCTTGAAGGCAGCATACAAAACGTGTGTCGACTAGTCACCGTCGAATTATCATAATTTGACCTCTTTAACAGGCGCGCATACATCCTGGACTCAAATCCATGTGCACTTCGCTTTCCTACTCCTACTTTGGCATTACAGTGACGGACTACAGTCATGTACCGGAGACATGCTGCGTTCAACGACACTTCCATCTTTCAAGCCTTGTTTGGTACATGCGCTACCATTGGAATCCGGCATCGTTCGATGGGTATGGGGATGATTGCACTTCATGATCTAACATGGACGTCGAGAAGTCAAGCCAAATACACTGCCGGAACGAAGGTACTAGGCTTCTCGTTTTACGACGCCTCCGTATAGATATACATCGAGT